TACTGTCGATATGAGATATTTTGAGACTAGCACTACGGTATGCCATAACACTTCAGTTTTCCCAGCGTATGATATCCTTCCTCGTTAGGATCACCTGTATCACCAAACCTCAGTTGTTTAACTGGAAGGTGTGACTTGTCAGTGAGGAGACCGCTGTCCTCACGCAGTACACCATCTTCCTTGTCACAGTTACACGGATGAGCAGGGTGTGGACATGAGTTGGTCATTCCGCACGCGCACTTACCACTGCCGGGTGACGCTCCTCCCCAGTATGTCATCTTCATCGAGTCCCGTGACACCCACCATCCAACACTTCCTCTAAAGAACAGTGAATAACGGCACTCGTAGCTGATAAACTGTTCGCAGTGTGAGGAGACTCTGGTGAGACTCGCCAGCTGAGAAAGACTGGCTCCTGTGTAATGGATATCACGTGAGTAACTTCCTGCGGACTCGTATCCTTTTATGTGCGTTCTGCTTTCACTGTCGTGACTGATGACTGTCACGCCAACTCTATTCTTGTCACTCATGTCACAGTATGCTGTAAATGGTGCTAGAGGACCTTCGCCATCGGTATCAATGACGTAATTTCCACTTGTAGTGCTGACGTATTTTTGTATCATAGAACAAGAAGACACGTTTATTGGATTGTTAATTTTCACTTTGGTTTCTATTACTGTCAGAACATTACTTGCTCTACAGGTGTAAGAACCTTCGTGTAATTTTCTAACGTTTTTTATTACCAGCGTCTCATTCTGTAGGACATTTGACCGTGTAGGTAAAGAAGACTCGCCCTGCTTCGTCCAACTGATTGTAGTTTTCAAGTCGCTCTCGACCACACACGGCAGATGAACAGTTGAGCCAGCCCTAGGAGTCATTTCTTTGGGGGGCCTAGCTTTAAACCGCAGACGAGAAAATACCGTAAAGTGAAACGTGTCTGCTGCTGATCCGAGAATGTTCTCCGCTCTACAGATGTATGTTCCTCTGTCATTTTTTGTTACGTTATAAATATTTAGCGTTCCATCAATCACTTCGGCTCTATCCATTGGCAAGATTCCAAACGCCTTAGACCACGTGATATTAGGCTGAGGCTGACCAGTAGCACTGCAGGCGATAGAAACATTTTGTTCTCCCTCAGCTAACACTTCGTTAGATGCCAAAATAATCGTAGGAGCGACTGTAATCATTGCAAGAGAAAGAAGTATGAGTTGTTAAGACAATGAAGGTTGTCTCCTGAATCATCATAGACAAGAAGAAAAGAAGGAAGAACTGTAAATATTTTATTGTTGCAAAATCAAAATACTTCAGTTACCCTATGCGTAAGATGTCTACAAATGCAAGCTGTAACGAAAATGGCAGATTTGACGAACTTTTGTCCATGATTTTGACGGGTTTGACGAAATTTGTCAATTTGTGGAAAGTTTGTCAAAGTGGCGATTCTTACGAAATTTCGCCAAAGTTGTTGACGAAATTATGCCAATGAATAGATATGACCTGGCCCCAAAAAGTTGACGAATTTGGCGAAAGTAACGATTCTAACGAAATTTCGCCAAAATCGACAAATCCATATACATTCCCACAGTCTGACGAAATTTCGTCAAATCTGCCAAATAGCTTTGGCATAATCATCAATGTGCAAACACCATCGTCCTCTATTTGCATAAGAAAGAAACTGACTTACAATGGACAGACAACTTCGCCGAGGCGTTCACTTGTCCCAAAATACTTTCAGCTCTACAAGAGTAAACTCCCT